GTTTCTGGGTGCAGTGATGGGGTTCTGGGTGCAGTAATGGGTTTCTGGATGCAGTGATGGGGTTCTGGGTGCAGTGATGGGGTTCTGGGTGCAGTAATGGGTTTCTGGATGCAGTGATGGGGTTCTGGATGCATTGATGGGTTTCTGGGTGCAGTGATGGTTTTCTGGATGCAGTGATGGGATGCTGGGTGCAGTGATGGGATTCTGGGTGCAGTGATGGGATTCTGGGTGCAGTGATGGGTTTCTGGATGCAGTGATGGGATGCTGGGTGCAGTGATGGGGTTCTGGGTGCAGTGATGGGGTTCTGGGTTCAGCAGTGGGATGCTGGGGAATGATGGGACCGTGGATGCTGGTTCCACATCCTGGCGAGAGCAGCGTCGCTGCCTTGCTGAACCTTCTCTTCCTCCTGCTGGGGTTTCCCCACCAGGATCAGGGATCTCCAGGGGAGGTTGCTGTGGGTTCAGCGTGTGTGACATTCATGTTCTAATTGCTCCAAAATCTTGGGGTCACAGCTGATCCCGACGGGTGCAGGTGACTGAAGACAGAATTTTCCAGACTTCATTTCACTCTGGGTTCTGCAGCCCCACCATGAACACCCGAGTGGCCGTGCTGGTGCATCTCTGGTGTGAGCTGGGGGGGTCTGGGTGGGTTTTGGGGGGAGGAGCCCTGCCCCCCCCCCCCCCAAATCCTTACTGCCTTCCTCCCACCCCTCCCTGGGGGCCAGAGCCAGCCCCTTCCTCGCTGGGGATTGTTTTGCAAGCAGCGTGACAGGATGAGGAGGAAATGTGCCAGGAATGGCTCCTCTTGGGAGAACTGGAGTCTATTTATAAGCCCCCCCCTTCCCGCCCCCCTGCTCTGCTCCCCCGGGACAGGCAGACACAGCCCTGCAGAGCTGCTCCCCTCTCACCCGGGAGTGTTCCAGAAACACTCAGCCGTTCTGGCTGGAAAAGGAGCTCCAAAAATCTCAAATCCCACCTCTGAGCAGCAGCATTCCCTGTGGATGGACACACACACCTCAGTGTGTGGGTGCTGCTCTCCCTGCTCTCCATGCACAGCCTGGCCAGGGATAAATAAATTCAAATTATCCTGGAGCAGGAGCAGCCGTGCTGAGCCCCTGCTACAGCGATGGATTTGAATTGTTTCAGCCATACTTTACACCAAGTGCACCAGCACCATTTTTAGCTGGTTTTTTCAATCTTTTTATAAAATTCGTCAAGACTACTAAAACATAAATTGTACTAAATTTAAAAAAAAAAAAAAGAGGCTAAAAACCAGAATACCAAAATTAGAAAAACCGAAATAAAAATAAACAATAAAACACTAAAATGTAGCCAGTCGTATTTCCTACAAAGTACATACAGAACACGTAAACAAAATAAAAACACCAATCAAGTAATAGATAATTGCCTGAACAGTAGTTTTAAAATATATAGTAAATAAAAAAAATCAACTAAAAATTAAAATATATGCTTTTTAAAATTTATACTTTTAAAAAATATATACTTTTAAAAGTATAAAGTAAACAATAAATCAATTTCTACATTAATCCCATTAATTTGTTGTTTGAAAATCCTTCATTCCTACACTCTGTCTGAGCTTAGAGCTGTGCCAGGGAGGTGGAGGAGGGCTCTGATGCCTGGCTTGAAATGGTTGGAAATGCTCTTCCAAAAGCATTCCTTGCAAAGGCATTCCTTGGAAATGCTCTTAATTTGGTGGAAATGCTCTTAATTTGGTGGAAATGCTGTTTATTTGGTGGAAATGCTGTTTATTTGGTGGAAATGCTGTTTATTTGGTGGAAATGCTCTCAGGGTGTGCCATAGATACTCCAGAACAAGGTGGTTTGGAAAGATGCAGCTGCACCGGGAATTTTGGGGGATGTGGGTGACTCAACCCCTCTCCTCTCCTCCCTTCTCTTCCAGATTTCTCCAACCAAGTGAATTCCACGTCCCTGAACTCCCCCACGAGCCGGGGCCCCATGGCCACCCCGTCCTTGCACCCGTCCATCGGGCCGGGCATTGGCTCCTCGCTGGGCTCACCCGGCCAGCTGCACTCGCCCATCAGCACCCTGAGCTCGCCCATCAATGGCATGGGACCCCCCTTCTCCGTCATCAGCTCCCCCATGGGCCCACACTCGATGTCTGTCCCCTCCACGCCCAGCCTGGGATTCGGCACCAGCAGCCCACAGGTAAAGGGGGGCAGTGCTGGGGAGGGGGGGGTCCCTGCTGCTGTTTGGGGAAGGAGGAGCCAGCCCTGGGTGGGTGGTTGGTTCCTCAACCAGGCAGGTGCCAAAGGGAGCCAAAAAAACCCAGGAGCACAAGGGGAAAAATAAGCTGGAGCCCTGGGTGGGCTGTGAGAGACCAGCACAGCTGGAACACAGCTGGCCATCGCTTGTTGTCCCTAAGATTGGGGTGGAAGGGGAGTAGTGACCACACCTGGGACACCTGGGGGCTGGTGGAGCTGTGGCAGGAGCCAGAGCCACCCGAGGACTGTCTGGGATTCTTCTCTTTCCTGGGGAGCAGCACATCCCCTCCAGGGCCAGCCCGTGGTCCCCATGGAATCATGGAATTGTTTTGTCTCGTCTGTCATGTTTTTTTCTTAAGATCATGCAAGTCCGCCACAAAACCATGTCCCCAAGAGCCACGCCCACACACCTTTAACACTTCCAGAGATGCTGATTCCACCACTTCCCTGTACAGCCTGACAATGAAAGAATTATCCCAAATAATTCAGCCAATCCCAACCTCTGCTGGCACAACTCGAGCCCGTTTCCCTTGATCCTGTCACTTGTACAAACCCAGGGGTCCTCTGCCCGCTGCCCCTTTCTTCTCACAGAGCAAGGACTGGCCTTCAGTGGCTGGAGATTATGTAAAAACCCCTCCAAGCAGGGCGAGATAAGCTCTTTTTAAAAATAGCCAGATCGGGGTGCTGGCCAGCCCCTGCCACCTGTTGCTGGCTGCTCGCACGGGATATGTTTAGTAAAAGGGCAGATTAAGGAATTGGCCACCACCTGCTGAGGGTTTATTTATTCCAGGCCCTCTCTGGGACTCAAGCACCTGCCAGCACCTTTATTTTTAAATATTGGCCTGGTTTATTCCCAGAGATAACAGGGCTTTTTACTACGTGGGGCTGTGCTGACTGCTCTCCCTGGGGACCTGCAGGCAGCTTCCCCAGGATCCAGCATCCCTGTGCTGCTCAGAGAGGAATAAGATTCGACTCTGGATGAGCTTCTGCTATGCAGGGTTCAGGCTGTGACGCCCTGAGATGTGCAGGGACCTGCACCCACTTCCCACTGTGGGACAGCAGCAGGGTGGACACGTCCCCTCCCACCCCGGGGCTGAGGGAACAGGAACTGAAACCGTGCCTGGGAACGGGCAGCCAGGGCGAAATCAGCAGCCCCAGCAGCAAAGTGGGAGTGGGAAGGGGGATGTGAGGCAACCCTGGGGGGAGCCACGAGCCGGGGAGACGGCGAGGAAGGGGAGATTGTAAGGTGGGGTTTGGGAGCGGTGAGCAAGGAACTGAAACAGAGCAGAGCTCCGGGGCAGAAGGGGAAGTGAGAGAGGTGGGATGGTGATGGGAGCGAGCTGGCTCCAGCCCTGGTGGCTCCAGCCCTGGTGACATCAGCCCTGGTGACACCAGCTCTTGATGGGTCCAGCCCTGGTGACACCAGCCCTGGTGACACCAGCTCTTGGTGGCTCCAGCTCTTGGTGGCTCCAGCCCTTGGAGTGCCCGTCCTTTGTTCAGGGACTTGTCTTGAATGTTTTTCCTGAAGGTGACACTTCAGAGGGTTTCAGCCTAATGGCTCCTGCCATCTGTTCCCTGTCTGGCCACATTAGGTCCCTGTCCCTGCAGCGGGCAGAGGCGCCTACCTGGGCCGGCAGAGAGTGGGGGGAGGATGAGGAGGAGGAGGAGGAAGAGGGGGCAGCGAGGCCGATGCTCTGCGGGGAGCACAGCCCCCCTGCCCTGGCCAGCAGAGCTCCGGGGTAATGAGGCGTGTGGCCCCCGTGGCCGGGCAGGGATGGCACTGATGGAAGGTGCTTTGCATCAGATGGCAGATGCCACTTGCCATCAGGCCACGCCTCGTCACCTCTGGAGAGGCAGCAGAGCAGAAGGGCAGGCGGTGGAGGAGGTCCCCAGGGTGGGTCCCCTCCATCCCAGCTCCACCACGATGGGAAGGAGCTGCCAGGCTCCCAAAAAACCAGGGGGTTCACCTCACCCCATCTGGTTCTGCAGCTCTTGGTGACAACGCTGGAGGATGCTCCCAGCGCCCTCCCTGGCATCCATTGGGATCCCAGTGCTGGATCTTGCAGGATTTGCAATCACAGCCCCAAAATCAGGGCACGGGGCAGGGATCCTGCCACGGGATCCCAGCATCCATGGGAGGGGGATGCTGGTGCTGAGCTGGCCCAGGAATGAGGGGAACTCACGGTGTGAGCAGGATCCCAGCCAGGCTGGGGGGCTGGACCCAGCAGCTCTGGGATTTAACACATTGCTTCAACCCTCTTACCTAAAATTATTGGGAAAACAGGAAAAAAAGCACCGGATTTTCAGCAGGGAAGGAGTTCCCATGCAGTTTGCAGGGCTGTGAGGAGCAGCTGCCCCAGGCATGGCTGGCAGCAGCTCGGGATGGGGAGAGATCAGACTGGGATTAGACTTTTCCAGAGCCACCGTCTGCCTTTGCACAATGCTCTTTGTCAGGGTGCCTGGAGGTGCAGGGAAGGGCTGGGATGTTTTTTGGGATGGGAGGAGGAGGGGGAATAAAGCAGAGCTTGCCACAAGGGTCAGGGTTTGGTCCGGGGTGTGATGAGCTGGAGAGGGATGGGAAGGAGCCGAGAGGTGCTGGTGTCACTGGGGAAGCACAGCCCTGGTTCCTGCTGTGTCTGGGCTCACTGGCTGAGCTGGAGCCGTGCTGTCCCACAGCAGAAGTGCTGTGTCAAGGCTGCTGTCCCCTCCCTGCACGTGCTCCCGGAGTGGAAGGGCCAGGGCAGGCGCCAGGGTGGTGTGGGAAGCCCGGGGTGGCTCTGCTGAGGTTTGGGGCCAGTGCTGGGAGAGGAACTGATGACTTTCCCCTCCCCAGCCCGGGGCTGACTCAGCTCTGAGCAGCTGATTCTCCAGGCTGAGGAGGTTGGTGGGATCCCCACCCTCCTGGGTGGGTCTTGCTCTGCCCATCGTGTCCCCAGTGTTTTCAGGGGGCTGCTTGGGTGGGCTCTGTGGGCTATTGGGGCTGGGGGAAGTGGTGGTGAAGCCGTGGCTGGGATGCAGCCATGGCCACCAGCTGCACCTGGGAATTGGCTCCACTTCCCAGAACGGGCTCTGGGAGGAATTCCTGGGGCAGGTCACCCTGACTTGGCAACCCCTGCTCCCAGGGGAGCACAGAGATCATGTGGGACTCAAAAAGAGATGCTCCCGCCTGGGGAGCTGCTCCTCCCTCCCCTCTCTGCTCTGTCAAACAGCAGCTGAAGCCAGGAGTGCACCCCCGGGTGGCACCAGGTCCCAGCTGCCTTTGATTCATCAGCTGGCACAGGCAGGGTGGCAGAGGGAGGCACATCCATCCCATTTCTCCAGGGTGGGTTTACCTGGCTCTGTCGTGTAGCTATCAGTCACCTGCCTGCCAAATATTCCCCACCAGCCTGGAGACTTGAAAGCCAGAGGAGTGGCTGTGCTGCTCTAATTGACAGATCACAAGCGCTGGGACTTCCCTGAATTAATTTGTGACAAGTGCAGTGCTGAGGATCTCTATTAGAGTAGAGAAAGGCAGCAAAGTGAGGCACAGGTTTGTATCCATCCTGAGTTTGTGGCTCTGTGACAATCCCACAGTGTGTCCAGAGCTGGCCAAGTCCAGGTCCCCCATCACCCCCAGACACTCCAGGACGGGGTGACCTTGTCCCCTTACCAGGATGGGTCCATCCTACAGCTCTGTGCCTCAGTTTCCCTTTGCACACAGGGCTGTAACAGCCCAGGGGGGGATTCAGCCCAGCAACTCTTCACTCCACACCAGTGCCACGGTGCCAGCACCAGTTCCACCCAAGTCTCTGCTTCTTGGGGGCCAAGGAAAGGATGGAGAGACGTTTGGGAGTTGCAGGGACACGTCCCACCCACTCCAGCTCTGGAACCCAGGCCCTGCTGCATCTGGGATGTGTTTATTTGCCACGGAGCTTTCCTTTGGAGAGATAATGCTGAAGGGATATCTATAAATTGCAGAGCTAAACAAGAGTGTCCTGGCCTTCATCATCCGTGCAAGGGATCACTCCCAGCCTGCAGCTCTCCCACGAGCCCCCACTGCTCATCTTCCTCCCTGTGTCCTGTGCTGCTGTGAAATGGGGTGGCTGCTGACCCCTGCCTGTGGGGGCTGTGCTTTCCAATTAAATCATGGAAAAACATCCTTCTTGCACGGTGCTGGGGGGACTGGCCATGTCCTGCCCCTTGTGTCACCCTGTGCCCAAATCCTCTTGGTTCAGCAGTGCTGGTCCCCACTGGAAGCTTGTCCCTCCTGTCCTGCGTCTGAGTGACACAGCCCCGTGTCCCCATGTCCCTCTGTCTCCATGTACTTCTGTCCTCGTGTCCCCATGTCCTCGTGTCTCTCTGTCCCCGTGTCCCCGTGTCCCTGTCCCTGTGTCCCCGTGTCCCCAGCCCCAGCTGAGCCCTGTGCTTGTCCCTCCACAGCTCAACTCGCCCATGAACTCCGTCACCAGCACAGAAGACATCAAGCCACCCCTGGGGCTCAATGGAGTCCTCAAAGTGCCAGCACACCCCTCAGGAACGATGGCCTCCTTCACCAAGCACATATGTGCCATCTGCGGGGACAGATCTTCGGGTGAGGCTGGCACCTGCCCCGGGGGGGTCTCAGGGCACTGGGCTGGGGGTGAGGGTGCCCTGGCAGGGTTGGCATTGGCTCCTGGCAGCACAGGGAGTGCCAGCAGCTCTCCTTTGGGACAGCACCTGCCTGTGCCTCAGAGCAGGGGATGAAGAGCCGAGCCAGGAGACCCCAGGTCTGTTTAGCAGCGGGGTCACATCTCACCCTATTGGCAAACAATGGGGTGAAACCCCTCCCTGTCCCCATCCTTTGATCTGCTCTGGTACTGTCACACAGCGCCCAAGATGCTCTTGGCATGGAGTTCCTCCACTCCCGGGAGATAAAGATGTGCTAATTCCCTTTCTTCTCCTGCTTTTCTTAAAGCCCCCTGCTCCAGAAGGATTTGTGAGCCCTGTGGGACCTCTCCTGTGCTCCAGGCTGGAAGTGGAGGGTGGGAACATGGTACAGAACAGGCTGGGTCTGCTCTGGGGGGTTCAGAGAGCTCCCAGGAGTACAGGGGGACACCCTGTTCCACTGCTGCACTGCCCCACCCCTTCTGCATGGCCCAGAAATGGCTTTTCCCTGGATGTAAGGCAGGATGTGACCCACGGGGCAACTTCCTGATTCCATGGAAGCCAAGCCACAATTCTCCAGCTCCAAGAAACCTCTTGGAGCTTTCACTCCCAAAAAAACACCGCGGGGAGAGCCCCTGGGAAGAACTGCTGGCAAAGAAAGGAGCTGAGGCCAACTTTAAAGCCGAGTTTTCCCCTTCCCACAGGTAAACATTACGGGGTTTACAGCTGTGAGGGCTGCAAAGGCTTCTTCAAGCGCACGGTGAGGAAGGACCTGACCTACACGTGCCGGGACAACAAGGATTGCCTGATCGACAAGCGCCAGCGCAACCGCTGCCAGTACTGCCGCTACCAGAAGTGTCTGGCCATGGGCATGAAGAGAGAAGGTAAAGCCTGGCCTGGCCCAGAGCACCCACGGGTGCTGCAGGGACCTCGGTGGGTGCCAAGAGGCGGTGCCAGCCTTGGCAAGGTGACAAAAATCTCGGCGCGTTTTGGTTTCGCGCCGCGGGCGGCCGGAGAGTTTTGTGGTGTCTGGAGTTTCTTGTGACCTCTGGAGCAGCACTGAGTCCTAGAGCAGGGCTTGGGTGATGGGTAGGGACATTTCCACTGATGGGTAAGGACATTTCCACTGATGGGTAAGGACATTTCCACTCCAGCCTGGCCTTGGACACTTCCAGCCACAGCTTCTCTGGGCATCCTGTGCCAGTCCCTCACCAATGCTGCGGTTTTTTTCCTTCATTGGGAAGAAAAAAGCAATTCAGTCTCTTTTAAGATAGCTCTTCCCTTACTGGAATTTAAATTTAGGATCTAAACGTCCCTGGCAGTGCCTCTTTTAAATGATCTTTTGAAATGCTGACTGTGTCTGTTCTAATCTGCTGGCAGAACAGGCTTTTAGCAGACATGACGTGAGAGTGACCCCAGCTCTGTGCTGCTTTCTCCCCTTACATCTTCAGAGCCACACTTGCCTCCCTGACAGGCTGATAAAGCCAGCCCTGCTCTGGCCCTGGCCCACAGCTCCAGCCTGGGAGCCTTTGAAGAGCACTCAGCCCTGTCTGGAGCATTGATTAAACGGGGCAGTGCTGGAGCTGCTCTGAGTGTCGGGCAAACCATGCCACGTTCGGTTTGTGGGGTTACCTGAGGACCAAAGTCACCCAGTGTCACAGCTGTCTGTGCTGGAGGTGTGGGGAGATTGCCAGGGCACCCAGGGGACCTCCTTGGTCCTGCTGAGCTTAACCCTTCAATGCTCCAAACAAATGTTCGTGCCCCAGGAGATGATTGAATGGAGAGACTGAGGCATTCAGGGCAGTGCAGGAGCAGGGGCTGGCATTGCCCTGCATGCAGAGCACTGGGGAATACTGGATCCCATGGGAGATGTGCAGCAGGATGAGGAAAATCTGATCCAAAACCTGAGCCGTGGGAGACTCAGGTGACCAAAAAGAAGCCGAGAATTCTCCTGTGTGTTCAGCAGGAGAAACACAGAGCATCCCTTTCCCCTGGCACTGCATCCAGAACCTTCCACAGGCAGCTGCAGACCCAGTTACCTTCCAGCCCCCCAGAACAGGGTGTGTGGGGCTGGGAAGAGCAGCAGGAATGCTGGAACTCTGCCCCCCTGTGAGCAGGTACCTGCTCTGTGCCTGCTGTGATTGCATGGGCAGCACCGCTAAGAATTACAGGTCCATTAATTAATTTCTAAATGGTGGTGGAAGTCCCCAGGGAGCACGTACAGTGTGAGGACTCTATTAATTCATCTTGATTAACATTATCACAATGAATAGCAAATGAATTCATAATGATCAGACAATTATTTAAAAGTGTGACAGATGGGATCCTGGTGGCTCCAGGAGTGTGCTCAGGCAGTGCTGATGGATCTGGGGAGGGCAGTGCTGGGGAAGGGCAGGAACTGGTGATTTGACAGTCATCATCAGATGATTTAGGCATAATCTCCATGCAGGGAAAGCTGAATTAACTCACCTGTCTCTTGTTATAAACCTAAAAATTCAGTGTCTCACAGAAATGTCTCAGTTGTCCTAAAGCTGAAAGGCAGAAGTTGGATCTTGCTGAGCTCTGGTTTTGAGCAGCTCTTGATTTTTACATGTGATATCCACCTGATTTGTCAAAAAAGAGTCTCTGCACCCATCCCAGCTGTCTGGAATTGTCCTTCCATGTTTTGGGGAGGAGTTTTGGGCTAAATCCTGCATTGCTAATTCCTTTTTCCTACATACTCAAACATAGCTGGCTTTTTATCCTCTAGCACAAACTCTTGTATCTTTTACGTAACAGAGCCTGAGTTATGGGCCTTATTTCCCTAAAAAACATCCTGCTCTGGAGACCTAATTTATAAATTGCTGCTGGGAAGTATCTCTCCTGTAGCCCAGAGGTACTGGGATGTGGTGGAAGCACACTGAGTGAGTGCTGGAGCTGTGGTGAGAGGCTGGGCTGGGGAGCAGTGCTGAGACCTGCAGGGTGATGCTGGCAGGAGGAGTGAGAGCCAAGGTTGTGCTCAGTTTAAAGAGGGTAAAAGGAAAGGGGTTATTGGGTGAGGAGTTGGGTTAGAGAAGTAAAATGAACGTGGTGGAGGTTTGGAAAGGTTTGATCCCAACAGCTGAGGGGGCTCCAGGTGAAGATGCCCAGAGCAGACCCAGAGGGATGGACCAGCTGGGGGACAGGAATCCTACAAACCTTGGCTTAAAGTGGGGAAAAGCTGCAGGAGCGGGGGATTCCTCCTGCTGTGTGCATCTCTTCTGGCTGTTCCCTGTTACAAACACGTCAGGGAGATCCCAGCATTGACTCTGAATGAGCCTCACACTCTCTGAGATACTGCAGCCATAATAAATAAGCAACTGGGAATATTTTTTTCCCCTATGAATTTCTGCCAGCTGTGTAAAGCTTGGGGTTTTTTTGCACTCTGTCTCCCACTAAATACCAGATAGTCAACAAAATTAAGATTACCATCAAGGATCTTGACTAATGCAGGGATTATTACTGGGGGAGTGGCTGTTTGCATCCAGGAGCTGAACTCTCCCTGCTGGATCTGTTCCTCTCTGGGGTCTGAGGTGTCTGTGCATCACAGCCTTGGGTTCCAAAGGGGAAAAAGTGGGAACTGCCCTGGAATCAGGGAGGCAGAGGTGGGAGAAAACACCAGGGGGCATGGGATGGGGGGGTCCTGTGTGGCAGGGGGTGACAGCAGAGGTGACAGGGTTGTGCAGCTGGGGCTGTCCCGTGGGGTGGGATGGGATGGGATGGGATGGGATGAGGTGCTGCCCCAGTAGTGCTGGCAGCCCTGGGGATCACACAGGGAGCAGGAAATACCAGCGAGGAGCCCTTTCCCAGGCTCCCTTGGCTGCCTCACAGGGAGCAGCCCTTGGGAAGCAGCTCCCAGAGCCCTGCCCCGGACGTGAGGGGCTCCCTGGGAGAGCCAGGCTGGCTCAGCAGGACCTGCAGGGCTCCCACGTGCCAGGCTGGGCTTTGGTGCCAGCTGGGTGAAGTGGATGCTGGTGCAGCTCACCTGGGGAGCAGAGAGCTGTTCTCCTGCAGCACCTGCAGCTCAGGCTGCCTGGCTGATCCCAAAGTTATTCCTAAATCCAGGTGCAGGTCCAGCATGCTGAGATTGGGAGCAGCCAGGACATCTGTCCAGCTGCATGCCTGCTCTCTGACTTCAGGGCTTTGTCAAACTCCACAGCCTGGGTTAATTCTTCCTCTTCCCATGTTTGTGGGTTGGTTTTCCCCCCTCTCACTTGGCAAGCTGAGGGGTTCAGCCTGGGAAGGGTTGGACTTGCAGCATCTCCACAGCCTGGAGACCTTCCCGTGTCTCCAGGGAGCTGCTCCAGCACTTATTCCAGAGGGACTGGAGATTCCCACGTGGAGTGACTTGTGCCTGATCCCCTGCCATGGCTCTGCATCCCCCTGGAGTTTGGGCCATCCCAGCTCCTGGACCATCCCTCAGGAGCACGAGGAATCTGGGGAGAAAGAGCAGGAATTCAGGTTTGCACCCCACTGTCAGAGTGAATGTGAAAGCAGGCGAGTGGCCACAGCCTGGTGAAGGGGCAGAGTTCAAGAGCACAGTTATTTTTAGGAGTAATTTTGGAATGGAAAATGTCTTCCAGCTTAATGAGCTTGTTTCTTATATCCTTTTAAAGTGCTGCTCTTTAAACCAGCTGGTTAAATGATGCTGGGTTTGTTTTTTTTGTTGTTTTTAAGGATGCTCTTAGGTTGGGAAAATGGGTTTGGCTTATGGTTTTCTCTCCTTTTGTTGCTGTTTGTTTATACTTCAGTGTCCAGAGAGTGAAGTGAGCTAGAGATTTTTTGCTGTTGTTTTCCAGAGCTGTTCCTCTTGTGAACTAGCTGCATACAAAGGTTTCAATCCACTTTTTAACACTCTCAAGTCACACTTTTTAATTATCACAATGGTATTTTGCATCTCTTAAAAAAATTACAACGTTCAGTTGAAAATGTTGGAGGGAAAAAAACCAAAACGTTTACTTCATGTGTCACAGCTTTTGAGGTTGTTTACAGTAGCAGAAAGCTGCACCTCTGAAAAAGAAAAAAAAAAAAAAAAAGGTGACACACGAAGGCAAAGCAGAAGAAACACTGTCTGAATTCGTTTTCTCAGCTGTCTTGGCATTTTGGATATAAACAGGTACCTGGGGCATAAACGCTTCAAGATGCTGATGATGCACAGCAAAGATGTGGCTTCATGAAAAGCAGCAGAGCCCAATAAATTCCAGTGGGAGAGAAACAGAAATCCCCAATAACCCCCACCCAGCACCTCATAAATAACCAGCCCCCCACCTGCAGGGAGAGGAAAACTAAAACTGAGCAGGTTTGGGGCTCCCTGGGCTGAGCTTTGGTGCTTTCCCCTGTGCTCTCAGGATGCTGGGTCTGTTTCACTGATTTCTCTCATTTTTAGGGGCAGTGAATTATCCTTTCCCCATGGAAAGGAGCAGCCTCCACCCTGCTGCTCCTGGAGGGATGGGTTTTCATCCCAAAAAGTTCTGTATTGACACTGGGTGAGTGTCACTGGAGCTGCTGTAGCCTCCAGGTCTCTCCCAGCAAACAAACAAACCTGTGCTGCTCCTGCCCTCTCAGAAACACCATTTCCCTGTGGAAAATCCTTTCCTTTGGGCCTCTCCCTCCCTCCACTGACATTCCTTCGGTGCAGAAGTGCAGTGCCCATGAGCGTGGCCACCCACAGGGGTTGGGTGACACTTTGCAATGGACTCAAAGCTGCTTTTTTAGCCATCAGATGCTGCCCCATGAGCAAAGCCAAGGTGCCCAAGATGTGGACACCTGCAGAGGATGGATCTGGCATTTTGGCACATCAGCCCTCAGGCTTGGATAGCTGAGGCTCATCTGCAAATCCACAGGACGAGACATTTTGGGTTTTAGA